GTGACCGCTCAGACTGGAGACCTGAAAGAGGCCCTGCGGTACCTGAAAGAGTCTTTGCGAATGCAGCGGTCCTTGCACGGTGACGGTGACCACCCGGGAATTGCAGCCACTTTGCATGAGCTTGGCCGAGTGACCGCTCAGACTGGGGACCTGAAAGAGGCCCTGCGGTACCTGAAAGAGTCTTTGCGAATGACGCGGTCCTTGCACGGTGACGGTGACCACCCAGGAATTGCAGTCACTTTGCATGAGCTTGGCCGAGTGACCGCTCAGACTGGAGACCTGAAAGAGGCCCTGCGGTACCTGAAAGAGTCTTTGCGAATGACGCGGTCCTTGCACGGTGACGGTGACCACCCAGGAGTTGCAGCCACTTTGCATGAGCTTGGCGATGTGACCGCTCAGACTGGAGACATGAAAGAGGCCCTGCGGTACCTGAAAGAGTCTTTGCGAATGCAGTGGTCGTTGCACGGTGACGGTGACCACCCGGGAATTGCAGCCACTTTGGCCGAGCTTGGCCGAGTCACAGCTCAGACTGGAGACCTGAAAGAGGCCTTACGGTACCTGAAAGAGTCTTTGCGAATGAAGCGGTCCTTGCACGGTGACGGTGACCACCCAGAAGTGGCTGCAATTTTGCATGAGCTTGGCCATGTGACCGCTCAGACTGGAGACCTGAAAGAGGTCCTGCGGTACCTGAAAGAGTTTTTGCGAATGAAGCGGTCCTTGCACGGTGACGGTGACCACCCAGGAGTTGCAGCCACTTTGCATGATCTTGGCGATGTGACCGCTCAGACTGGAGACATGAAAGAGGCCCTGCATTACCTGAAAGAGTCTTTGCAATGATGCGGTCCTTGCACGGTGACGGTGACCACCCAGGAATTTCAGCCACTTTGCATGAGCTTGGCTAGGGTGATGGCAGAAGCTGGAGAACTGAAGGAGGCACAGAAGTACCGACTTGAGCTTGAGCGAATGCTCTTTTCCTTACGTTCCTTACGAATGCAGTGATTGATGGCTGCAACAGATCTGTGTTTCCCATCTCGGAACCGGTCTTTGCTGCATTCGCTCAAACGTGGGCACCGGTAGACCCTGCAGGTGCAAAAGATCGACAGTTTCAATTCCAAGCTCAAATCGTGCATGGAATCGACCAGAGCAAGCTTGCTAAGCTGCTTGGAGGCTGGGCCAAAGCCAGCTTTGGTGTATGTGAGATTCTGCGTGTGGAAGTGAACTCTGAAGAAAAGGTGCTGATTTGGGCAGATTGAGGTGCATTTTTTGGGGGGGAATGGGCATGAAAACTGACAGTTACTTGTTTCTCCATGAAAATTCCTATAATTACTGTACCAGGCAATGCTGAATCACATGCTGCTTATGGTTCGAGCTGAAGAATTCCATGCTGCTCAGGGTTTTAGGTCCTTCACTTCTTGCAACACCGCCACCACCGAGTCCCAGCTCTTCCAGCCCTTCGCAGCTTGTTCCGACCGCGCCAAAGGCCGGTGATGCACCGCTTGACCTGGCCCCTCGGCGATATATGGCGCAGCGTGGCGCAAACCGAACCGAGAGGCCTACTTGGGAAAACCGAGGAATTTGAGGGGGCCAATCAATGTGTTTCAAGATCTTTCAAACAAATCTACGTGATGTCTCGGTTCTTGGTTAAAGATGCTTGAAATCCTTTAAGTCAACATACATAATGAGTTGTTATAGTCATAGTCATCAGTTGGGCCCCAATAATATTTGTGCGAGAGGGGCGAGTTCAACTATTCAGAACTTATACGTAGTACTTGGCCACCAAGAAATCACATCATTTTCCTTAGAGAGGGCCTCACTCAGATGAAGTGTATATACGCAACCACCAGTCAGCCAGTCACCAGAACGTCGGGAGCATGTTCCAAATGGGTCGAGAAGAGCCGTGCGTTTTCGAGTGTTTGGCTCGGTCACCAGGTGGACATCCGCGACGTCACCTCGGAGGCTGCGCCAATGCGACGTCCGAGAAGCGATGTGGGGGGGTCGAAGTCGAAGCGGAAGTTTTGGGGGGACAGCTCATGTGGCTTATAGGTGTCGGTTGTGGAGTGGGTGGAGTGGTGATGTTGCGATGTTGTATGTTTGTGGTAGCGTGCCTCCCTAACGGGTGGAAGAGGCTTCTTTCGTTGTTTTGTTGTCTTGAACATGTTTGTTGAGAGTTGGCAGAATCTGTTTGGGGTCTTCTAGTGGATCACTCACCCTCTTGAGGGTTTTGATGTCCCAAGGGTACAGTGATGGATCTCCAGCAGCAAATCACTAATTTTGGTGAATCCTCAACTCATCCAGTAGCCATGGCGTTGTTCCAAGACCACCTGAATTGGCCTTGGAAGTGTCGTCACATGGGGTGTATACAGTGTATACAGTAGCTGGAATAGTTATCCAGTAATTGAATACCATTCAACTATACTGAGATAACCATCCCAGGTAGTGTATACTATAGTCTCCTCAGCTGCCGGTCAGTTCACCACCAAGCCCGAAGCAAGGCGGTTCACCTTCGTGGCCGCGGCGAGGTGAAGGACATCCGTCCACCTCGGTGAGAGCGAATCGGCGAAGCCCAGGTGTCTCCCCTGCGACGTCCTGACGGATGAAGACCAAGTATAATTCCAGGGTGTTTCAGGCGACTTCCTTTCCTTCTCGCCCGTACTTCGGGACACGCAGAAGTCCGAACATTATAGTTCAGGGTTGCTTCAGGGTTTTGAACTGTTTCCTACATGTTCCTGATATGGTTGTTTTGGGCTAATCCGGAGGCAAATGCCTCTCCTTAGCCTTCGAAACACGCCCAGCGTGCCTCAGCGGTTTTGCCAGGTCGGCTTCGTGCCAGTGCCTGGATTGCCACTGGTGTCGGGTGGGTGGCGGATGTTCCTGGTTCGGGAAACTTGTGGCCATCAATGGAGGTCCGGTGGCGCGTGGTGATAGGACTTGTACCATGTGGCAGAAAAGCATGGTTACTTGGCCCAAATCACAAGAATAACTCAGGTCATCAGGTTCTTATTGATTCCAGTTGCTTGCAGGACTGCTTGAGATAGTGACAGACGCAGCTCTGCAGATGGGGTTCTCACAGATTCTCCAATCCTGATGACCAAGCTGTCGGATCCTTCTCGAACCGTTCTTGGTGGATGGATGGCCGTGATTGGATTGTAGAACGTTTTTGTGACTCTTCTTTTGGACATACCTGTTAAGGTCCAATGGACAATAGTATGACATAGTGTGCCCCACCAGTTGATTGACAAACACAACCTGTGGCCACTGAGGTGTTCATTTTGCGCCAAAAGAGCTTCAACTTCCGGAAGGTCATGAACGCAAGGCAGTTCTTGGCGTGTTTCCTTGTTTCCTTTTCTTTGTTCTCCCATTTTAAGGATGGCTCCGTGTTTTGCAATTCTCGCTCTTGCTTTGCTTGACTGAGTGTACAGTGAAATTTCATCATCCACTCTCACAAACAAACTTAGCATTTGGTCTATTCCTTGAACCACTCCGCACGCCTCCACATCGGCTCCAGAGAAGGTATCGAGATATTTAACGCTTGTTTCTTTTTGCACCCTGCGATGGCATATCGGCAAGAAAGAAGTGACTCATCCCTACCTGGCGTGCTCACTTCGGTCCTAGACACTTGGGCTCCGCCATTTTTTGTCGAAGGCACTGTTGATACCTGTCCCGATCTCTCGATTGAGTCGGGCAGTGGTGAATCAATCGTGGTGTCAGCACCCTACCAGCGGGACGTGGTGCAGCATCTCTACAGCATGGCAGAGCAGTCTCAAGTCGGGACACTCGAACGCACTGTTATCGACACGAGTGCACGAAGGTCCAAGGAGTTTTCTCAAGTCAAAGTCACGGATGCCGACAGGCCTTGGCCGTTGGAGCAGGTGTGCGAGGAGATTCGCGCCAAGTTGGCTCCTGGGGCGACTCGAGTGCATGCTGATTTATACAAGCTACTTCTTTACAACAAAGGAGATTTCTTCAACATGCACAAGGATGCCCAGCAGCATAGCCACATGTTTGCCAGTCTACTCTTCTTTCTTCCATTCGAGCATGAAGGAGGCGGGTTGCAACTTTCTCGGCTGCAGACATCATGGGAGAAATCAGCCATGTTTGATGTCGCAAATATCAACAAGGATGGTTGCTGCTCATGGGTTGCCTTCTACACCGACGTGTGTCACAAAGTGCTGGATGTGAAGAGTGGTCACAGATTGGTTCTCAACTACACGCTGCGATTTGAGGGTTCGATGAGCCCATCCCCTTGCTTGCCCAAGCTCCCAACCAGAGCCATTGACTTGGTAAAGCAGACGCTGAAAGGAAATGCAGATTTGGCCATTCCACTCTTCTATGCTTATACTGCCGAATCCTTTGGAACAAGCTTTCTGAAGGGACGTGATGCCTACCTTTTCAATGCATTGCATGCGTGTGGCCTAGCTGCCTCTGTGCGATTTGTTCTATGCATTGACACGACCTCCGTTTGGTACTATGATGATTGCCCAGAAGAACCAGACTGGCACACAAGCTTTGATCGTGCAGTGCTTGTTGGTGAAGAGTTTGTACGTGAGGCCGTGCAACTTGAAGAAGAAAGGCATCAGTCCCGTGGCTTCGATAACGACGGGAGACAGTTGATTGCAAAGGGAGCTGCCTTTGCAAAAAAAAATCATGGACGCCTCCAAGCGACCTCTACAGTGGGTGATGTTGCCTCAAGAGCCTTTCGTGGAGAACAGACTCTGGGTGGGCCACTCGATAGAGGCATTCGGATGGCTTGGAAACATGACACCGGCTGCGGAGCTCTACTACATCCAGGCAGCTTTGCTCGTTAGTGAGGGTTGATTTTTTTTGAGACAAGCTGGACAAGTGCCGCAAGAGACCTGTGTGTCCCTGCACGCTTGTCACGGCCGAGATTTTGTACCGAAGATGTTAGTGCCTGAGGAAAATATCGCTGAAGGAGCAATCACAATACAACATAAACTTAACTTTTGCTAACTCTTGTTGAAAACTGAAAACAGATGTGAAATCACCTCATTGCCATTTGCCAAACACAGGGGTCAACAAGAGTTGCCATTGTACACCATGATTTTGCCTAGCAGGCATGAGTTGGAAAGAAGGCGATCGATTTGTGTTTGTGTGCGAATGACCGACATCCACCGATCCCTCGGTGAGAGTCCTCAGGAAGGTGACCCATGCGACTGGCGAGGGGCGTGTCACGTCAAGCGGAAGTATGGCGCAGTGCCGGGTGGATTGGTGATGTTTTATGTGAGTTCTAGTCCCCCATAGCACATGGAAAAGGTTTCCTTAGATGTTTTCGCTCCTTGATGTGTGATGGAGGTCCACATGTCAAACGAGTTGGTGAACTCTCAAACTCACCCCATAGCCATGCGTTCAAATTGGCCTAGCAAACCATGCAGATGAGACCGACTTAGAGCATCAGAACGGCCGCCACGTGAACATGGCCCTGAGGAAAATTTCCGTAGATCTTTGAAGGTTGCGGGTGCAAAGTGTCATGCTTTTGTACTTACTGACAAGTTGTCACTTGGGAAAATTGACGTTTGATGTAGATCTTCCAGGTAGCCCATACTGGGCAAATCGGCAAATGCTTCAACCCCATTCTGTTCATGCTTTTGAGTGGCACGTCACCACCGAGTGTCAGCTCTCCTTCTTCAGCCGTTCGGGACCCATTCCGCACCGAAGGCCGCCATGGGCCGCCTGGCCGCGGCGGCGGCCGAAGTGGGCCCAGGTGCCTGGGCTATACGGCGGTGGAGGATTGTAATTGCTTGGGAACCAGTCTGGCAATGTTTGGGTGGTGATTTTTCAGATAGTTTTAAAAAAATTAAACCTTTGCCTGGGATGATTGAAGCCACTGGATATTAGGCTACGAAACATTGTGTTTGGAGCAAATCAGGTATTGCGGTATTGTTCCGTGTTGAGTGGTCAACATTCCCTCCCCTGCAGCACTCCCCTCTCCGATGAAACAGGTATTGTATATCAGTATAACGGCATGTTGAAACACACCAACTGTTGTTTGGAGTTGCACCTGGTTGAACACATAGTCTCGGTGCTATATCGCGCCAAAAGTTGTGTTTTCAAATATCAGTGCTGCGACCACCATCCTGCAATTTCATTAGGGTACATGATGATTCATATCATGAGTTGGGCCCAAACACCGTTCATGCGAGAGGGGTGAATTCAACAACTGGAGTGTACAGAACTCTTTGGCCACCAAAGCCCACTCAGTATTCCATGCTGCTCATGGTTTTAGGTCCTTCACTTCTTGCACCACCGAGTCTCAGCTCTTTCAGCCCTTCGCAGCTTCTTCCCACCGCGCCGAAGGCACCACCGGTGATGCACCGCTTGACCTGGCCCCTCGGCGATATATATGGCACAGGGGGGGAACTGAGGCATTTGGGTAGTCCGTTGTGTTTCATTGTGGTTCTTGCTTGTAAAGATGCTTAACGTCAACAAACATTTGAGTTCAACATAGTTCAACAAGAATACAGTGTGCAGAACTTTGGCCACCAACACCACCTCATTTTTGCTTACAGAGGGCCTCACTCAGATGAGGTGTATAAATACTCCCCAGCCAGTCAGCCAGTCCGTCAGAAGGTCGGGAGTCATGTTCCAAATAAGTCGAGAAGAGCCGTGCGTTTTCGAGTGTTTGGCTCGGTCACCGGGTGGACCTCCGCCGCGAAGTCACCTCGGAGGCTGCGATCGACCTCAATTGGTGACCCCAATGCGACGTCCGGATCATCGGAGAGGCGGGCCATCCGGGGGAGGGAGTGGCGAAGTCGAAGCGGAAGTTTTGGGGGGACAGCACAGTGGCTTATAGGTGTCGGTTGTGGAGTGGGTGCAGTGGTGATGTTGCGATGTTGTATGTTTGTGGTAGCGTGCCTCCCTAACGGGTGGAAGAGGCTTCTTTCGTTGTTTTGTTGTCTTGAACATGTTTGTTGAGAGTTGGCGGAATCTGTTTGGGGTCTGATAGTGGATCACTCACCCTCTTGAGATGTAGGTTTTGATGGCCAAGGGTACTGTGATGGATCTCCAGCAGCGTATCATGCGATTTGGTTAATCCTCAACTCATCCAGTAGCCATGCATGCGTTGTTCCAAAACCCCTTCAATTTGCCTTGGAAGTGTCATCACATGGGGTGTATACAGTGTATATTATGGTCTCCTCAGTTGCCGGTCAGTTACCACCAAGCCGGAGCATGTTCCAAGTGAGTCGGAAAGCAAGGCGGTTCACCTTCTTGGCGGGGCGAGGTGAAGGACATCCGTCCACCTCGGGTGAGAGCGAATCGGCGAACCCCAGGTATCCTTTGCGACGTCCTGACGGATGACTGGAGAGGCCATGGGGCTCACATCTTAGATGGTTTTTGAATGGTCCTTCATTGTGACGTGTTTGTTTTGAGATTTGTCATGTTTTGTTCAAAGTGTTTTATGATGTCATATCTTTCTATGTGAATCCGTTTGGATCTTCTAGTCGATCACTCACCCTCTTGGGATGTCAGCATCCCAGGTATCGCGTAGTGGAAGCTTTGATAGTCTACAGGGTGTGGGGTGAACTATGATGGAGGTTTTGCATCTAGAATCTATAGAAGGATGAATGAAGATGTCCAACGAATTGGTGAACCCGCAACTCACCCGCTAGCCCTAGCCATGTGGAAACCGTGCAGATGAGAACGAGACATGTTGCTTCCAGCAGCATCACACCGGACGCGTCACCTTCAAAGGAAATGGATGACTTCTGGTGATGAGCTGGTATGGGACATGTGCCAGGAAGGGCGATGGTTGTTTTTTTGATTGCAAAGGCCCATCGAGTCCATGGTCTCATGTGATTGAACGTTGTTAAATGCTGCATAAAAGAAATCATGGTCGACTTGGGGTTGATGTTGGCCACATTGAGGATCCCTGGAGGGTGTTTGTTGTTTGGTCCTCCATAACGACAATGCATTCGCTATAGGTTAAAATAAACGAACTGTACAGTGTACAGCCTTGAATTCACTTGTACGTGCCTCAGTTGGATGTTCTTCACCGACAGAAAAGGCCTCGATCGAACCATCAATCTCGCCTCCCAGGTCACCCGGTTCGATCGCCCGGAGCGGAGGTCGGGCGGTCCGGACGGACCGCGGTCGCCGGGCGGAGCCTCGGAGGTGGACGGACTCGGCGAGCACGGGAGGACAGCGCAGTGGGTGGGCGTTTGGGAACGAAGGCGTGGCAGGGGCTGTTACTATTTTTTGTTGAAGATGAAGGAAACACATAGATCATCATAGATCCATATGTTTTTTGAACATGAAGAGGAACACACATTTCAAGAGGTGCCTCCTGGAAAACGATGTTTTAAATAGTGGAATACAAGCTTCATGAGGCTTTTCTTCTTTGAGGGTCATGTTTCTGTTTGTCATTTTGCATTGCTCACACAAGCAGGGACGAACTAAATGCCTCACGGGCACTCACGCCTCTGGGCACGGCCCCATCTCCGCATAGCTCGGTGCAGGACGGCTCCAAGGACGGCTCCACCGGGGAGAAAGCTGCTTCGGCTGCGAGGAGGTCGCCTTCCACCCCGAAAAAGCACGGTTTCGTTGTCTTTTCACTTTGAAGATGGCAGAAGAACAAGATACAGATAGAGATGATAGAGGACAATGTCGAAAACATAGTTGTTGATGTTTTTTGTTTCACCATGGCAGAGGAACGCAGTTTGTCATTGTTTTGTTTGCTTGTGCAGCAGCTTGGATGTTGGTGAACGCATATTGTGTGTTTGTCGGAAACTGCTTGGTGGCTTTGCTATGCTTACCGTAGCCTCATGTGAGTTGAGTTTTTTCAAAATATATATAACTTGCGCCCCAAGAAACATAAGGATTGGCGTAAAGTAAAGACATGTCTCAAACACGTCCAAGTACACAAGTCCTCCACAGATTGCCATGTCTCTACCATCTTTGAGCCAGTGAACTTTGTTTGACGCCATGGCTGGCTCCTTTGGTCTTCCAACCGAAGTGCTGTGGCCTTCCCACATGGTTGAAAGGCTGCCCCTTCAGCAGCTGAGTCAGCTCTGCAGGGTGTGCAGGCGCAGGGCGTAGCCACGTTAAGCTGCCCCGCTTTTGGGATATGATGCCTACCCAACTCACCGAGTGGATAGACGGTGACTCGTGTGGATTGGGAACAAAGAACACATTGAAGTGGCTGGTACATGATCGCTATATAAATTGTCCGCACATAAAATTCAGATTTCATGCCATATTGCTGTTGGCCCTGTGACTTTGCATGAGCATGCGACAATAAGTCGAGTAGTTAAAGCCATTGTTTGCCCACATTGTCAGGTCACTCCATCAGGCATGTGACCAGCAGCTCTGGAAAAGATTCCAACAAATCCGAAAAGCATTTCATGACATTGACATCCGAGTGCAAGCGGTCTTGGAGCAACTTCCAGAAGACCTGCAGGAAGAGGTGGAGGAGGACTCGATCGACAAGGCAATGGAACTGTGGGATTTCATGAAGGAGGTTCGAGACATGGCCAAAGGTATCCTGAAGCTCTTGGAAGTCACTCAACACCAACTCTTGGGTGCTGAAGTCACCAATGAGGATTTGTTGGCCATTTTGGCCGAGATCGTTGTCAGAGCAGAGCACGAAGCCGTCAGGGATGAGGCAATCCTGGACACCCGAAAGCTTCATATAGAAGCTGCTTGTAGCTTCATCCATGCTACTCGGCAAGTGGAGAAGTTGCTGCAACCGATCCTGCAAAGAAGACTTGTATCAGGCAACTGGGCTGTCCAGCGCAGTTTGGTTTGCTTGTGGTTGACCAGTTGTCCAGATTCATAGTACACACAAGTCAACGAATGCTATCCTCTAGATTCAGATTCAATTAGATTCATGTCTCTTAAATATCCTAGATGGGCCACTCTGCTAACTTCTTACTACCTTTTTTGCCTTGGTGCTGCCAGCTGCCTTTCAGGTCTACGTTCCTCGTCCATTGTCCTGCACCCGCCCATGAATCCTCCTTTTGAGACAGAATCAGTGTATTCCGTGACGGATCAGACTCAGAGCGGGACTCGGCCCTCTCAGCCGCGGCAGTTCCCAGGGACAATCACAGAGGACAGTGGGGGTCCGGGTGCAGGACCAGAAGACGTGCCGGAGTCGATGCCCGGTGGAGCTGATCTGGCGGAATTGCAAAAGCTCGAGCATCGACTGCTTGAAGCGACAGCTTGGCAGACCGGCGACAGCACGGAACTGGCCGTCATCCTGCACAACCTCGGTCAGGTGAACGGATGTCAAGGGCATCACGCGGAAGCCATGGAGTATCTGAGAGAGTCTTTGCAAATGAAGCGGTTTTTTTAATGATACGGCGACCACCGAGAAGTGGCAGCCACTTTGCAAGTGCTTGGCCGGGTGACCCATCAGAGTGGAAGCCTGAAAGAGGCCCTGCGGTACCTGAAAGAGTCTTTGCGAATGGATCGGTCCTTGCACCGTGACGGTGACCACGCAGGAATTGCAGTCACTTTGTCCCTGCTTGGT